CTAGCAATAGCCCACTTGCATGCCAGCATGCCATTTCACCTCAGTAGTCAAACACAAAAGAATCAAGATGAGGCGCTGTGYGTAAARCTCAGTTAATTGYGAAAAACTATTGTTTCTTCACGAATGACTGAGCTTTATGCACGGCACCTTGTCTTGATTCTTTTGTGTGTGACTACTAAAGCAAAACTTTGTTTTGCCATTTGCGGCTTGATCGGACATTAAGTCATTGCTGATTGATTTATAGAAGGTGTGAGAAAGTGATCGAAGCTTGAAAGTGTTGAAAGGGTCTATTTACTGACTTGATACCCTGCATTGCTAAGTTAAAAATTAATTAAATAGTGACTGACTGCAACAACTTTGCCCATATTTATTTTTCATTCCATTCATTTTAGGCTTTCAACAATTGTGAATGCTGATCAGATTTTAGTCCTTACTGATGGCGAGATTATTGAGCGAGGAAGGTTAGTGAATGAATCGTACGATAGGGAAAAATAGCATCCTATTCATTCTTCTCTTACCAATTATACGATCTTCAGGTGGATCATCATATGCAAAAATGGCAAAATATTCGATTATTTGATATCCGAATCATATGACTTAAATATATGACTATATATCTTAAACTATGATAACTATGATAGAAACAATATTATAGTTTTAGTGCTAGGAAGGAGGCAATTCCCTTATGAATTCGTTTTAATTCTCCATTGCCTTGGCAATAAATAGCTACAGTATTACATTGAAYAATCATAAGAAACATGATAATTTTGTTGCATAGAAATTTGAATAGYATTCCCAAAAGTTATAAAACTCAAAATCAATTATAGATGATGTATCATGTAAATTACTAGTATATATAGCTTGGGCTGTATTGCATCTCATAATTACAATCAAATATGTTCACTGAGTACACCGTATTCCAAAATGCCACCCTTTGTTCCATAGGCCTTTTCTGAAATAGCATGACGCTTTGCATCGTGGTCTAGATTCGGTACAAACATCTTTTGTTCATGTGGCCAAATATGGTGTTATTTGTACTGAAACTAGACCACAATGCACCATGATTTCGTATCTCAGAAAAGGTCTATTAGCCCTTGTTTTCTCACTCTCATAAAATTATTCTTTTTGTCTTTGAGCTTGAGTGACTTTAAAAGCAAAAAAATCGAGACATCAAGGGCTAGTCAGCCATTTTGGAATAAGGTGTATTATGCATGATTTTATTATATGATTTTTAGGCATGATGAGCTGCTAGCATTAAATGGTCACTATGCTTCAATGTGGCAACAGCAATCCAGCAAATCAGACGAAGATGAAACCGAAGATTTCTTGACAGATATCAAGGAGAAAATGTTCTAAACAAATATAAATAATAGCAAAGCACCATAAATAAGAGAAAATGGAAACCACACAATCGATTTTTCATCAACTGACATAGGGCTCCCAGCATACGACYGTCCTTGTTTCATTTGTACCTAAAGGTCAAGTAAGACAGGACACTTTTTTCCCACAACCATCCCATGCAACCTGCACAAAACATGTTTCCATTATCAGTGGAGGATCCAGAACATCACAAAGATAAAATAAAAGTGAAATAAAAAATAGTGAACAAAAGTCCAGTTGCATTTTTAGACGTGGTCTTCCACAGGAAGCCCACGGAAAAATGACATTTTGTTCTCCGTGTTCTTAGTAAAGGGTTGTCGTACGTATTCCATATATGGTATTWACTAACAAGCGTATAGCGGTGACCCTAACAAGCGAATAGAAGCACCTAACAAGTGAAAAGCGGTCCCTAAGGAATCCCAATTTACCGGTGCTATTAGCAATGCAAACTACTTTAAATAAACAATTCGTTGTTTGCCAGCGAAATCTCTCGTGGTCAAGTTAGGTAAGGCGCTTTACATTTGTAGTCRAAGGGTTAGGTTTAGGGAAAAGGACGGGTCAGGCTATAAAATGTTAAATTCACAATTCTAAGTTAAAWTTCGATAAGGAAATTTTTAATAAGTTAAGGCGTAGCTAAAAAGTTCGAATAAGTCGATAAAAAACTGTAGAAAAATATACAAGTGAAAAAAAGTATGTACCCCTGTTCGCTTGTTAGGTGCTTCTATTCGCTTGTTAGGTGCTTCTATTCGCTTGTTAGTTTATCCCACATATGGAATACGTACTACAAACCCGCTAGTATGTATCAATCATTTATTTTCACATAATATAAAAGTATTTTACATTTTTACCAGTTATAAGTTAATTTTTTATAGTGTACATGTTGCAT